CAAACCCTGGTGAATCAAGAACCCCTGAGCTGTGCTCCCGTGGAACTCACTTTTACCTTGGCCCAGCTGTAGGAGATGAAGGCAGCTCAGAGGCACTGTGGTTTGGTGAAATCATTTTGTTTTCAGTTAGAGACTGTTGTGCAACAGGAGCCATTCTACCTGAAATCCTTTGCAGTCAGCATCTCAGCTGGCCCATACCCTGATAGATGGCACACACATTAAACCCCCAACCTCCAACACAGTCAATATACAGGCACTCCAGGTATGTGCACTGAAAGTGAAATATCTGCTCTTATTCCACCTACCTGGGGCTTCTCCTTTTTGGCTTCTGCTTTGAAGCACATTCTCACTCAACAACACACAACCTACACAAGTAAGGCCAAGGACAAAGCCCCTCAGTTACAGCACAATGGTATTTATCTTCTATGGATTTTTCTTAAAAAAAAAAAAAACAAACCAAACAAACACACAAACAAAAAAAACCAGCTTCCAAATGTCTCAGCTGACACTAATTCTTCTCTTAGCATGAAATCAGATGGATCCATGCCAAATTCTGTCAGCTGGAGGACCCTGGAGTTAAATTCTACTGTCCCAAAGCATTTCTTGAGATAAGATCTGTGACTTTCAATAGCCAGGTGGGACCTGTGTGGTCTTTATTTCTCTCCTACCTGAGAACCTGGGGTAGTGCTTTGCTGTGTCCTAGTGGTGCTGTATATCACACCACAATAGCTGTTAAGTGCTGGAAGAGCTTTAGGCTGGAGGGGGAAAGCATAAACCTACAGAGTGTTTTATTACTTAAAGAAAATGGTAGTCTTAGTGCAGCCCTTGTAAAGGGAGGCTGAACAGATCTGACCTTTCTACGCTCCTGTAACTTTTACTAAGAACACTATCCCAAAGCCAGCCAGCAGGGAAGTAAAGCAAGGTGATGGATATACTGCTGCAGCAAAGAGTGGTCAGCTCAAGAAAGATGGCACTGATTAGAAAAGGCCAGTCTAGGGCTGTTTATAAATAGCTGCAGAAATGCAGCTCTTACAGGAGGTGTTGCTGTTCAAAAAAAAAAAAAAAGAAAGAAAAGCTTTCATAAAAAACAAGAAGGCATTGGGTGAGATCATTCCATTCCCAGAGTTGACATGTTTCCACAAATTTAGCTGATTCTCCACTTTACCTTTTAAAAGTGTCCATATGTGTGAAAGGATTTAAGACAGAGCAACTCCATTTCCCAGCCCATCAGATGTCCTGCAATACCTCTCTATTTGTTGTTCTGTTTGCAACAGATTTTCACCTCCGTGGTGCATAATCTGTTCTCATTTGTACCTCTGCTAAACGTGGTCTGCAGGAATATTTTGGCTTTTTGCTTGAAGGTTGGTTTAAATGAAATGTAAAAATGGGAGAGGTTGGAAATCCACGTGGTTCTAGCAAATGAAAAAAAGAGCTTTCCCGCTGTCACCTGGGCTGGAAAAGCTCTGCTCCCTGCCTGGCATTAGGCATGCAGAGCACTGCCAGCCAGCAAAGCTCCCGAGACACCATCTGTGCACATAATAAAGAGCAGTGGGACTTTTGTAACATAAATGATTGAATTTGCTTTCTCCTTCCCTTGCAGTGGGAGTATGCCAGCTATTAAGTGCCATAAGAACTTGCCAGACTACCTTTGAATATAAAATTTATCTTCTCTGATTCATGCCCTCTCCCACCTCTGCAAGTAAAGCTGGTGCTGCTGCAGGAAATGTTGTTATTTTGCCTAGACAAAAGCAAGTTTACCTGCCTGTCACATCCACCTAAACCAGGAATGTAGTTGTGAACCACAGAAAGCCTGAACTGCTTTTGAGTCTTGCCTCATTCTTCCTTGACAATTGGACAAACCTAAAGTGACCACTGAGTCTCAAATCTCTCGGAACCCTTTTAAACCTCAGTACCAAATCTGAGAAGGCTGATAGGCAGCACCATTCCTCTTTGCCATGTCATGAGCTCCTGACCCTTGGTTTATTCCAGCACTCGTCTGCCACTTCTCAAATAGGAGGGGAACTCCAGATTTCCAATATTTGCCTGTATTTTTCTTCTCTAAGTAAATAAACTGTATTTGTCAGCCACATGGATCACCATCAGGACCAGAAGCACTGTCCAGTAAGTGACCCTTAGCAGACCCGGTTTGGATTATAATGACAAATTTTCTGCAAGGTCAGAATTTTATACCTGGAGTGCCTACATCACGTTAAAGGGGTTTGAAAGAGCCCAAATGAGCTGGATGTTTCAGAAAACAAGAGAAAACAAACACAGTCATTCCTATGGCAAAAAGAAAACCAAACCAGCCAGCTACGCTTTTCCTGGGAGGGTAAGAGCATCTCATCTTTCAGGTGAGGACATGAAATGCTAACAGGGAGCTTTTAAACATGGCCCTGCAATTAAAGATGGTCGTAACAGGTATGTGCACAAGGCAAAAGTACAAACCAGTTTAATTCTGGCCTCTTCCTAACTCTGTTATGCTCAACTTTTTGCTCTCCTACTCCCTCGACTGTGTTGTTCTTGTGGTTATATAAACAAAACACAACCCAATTACACCCAGGCAAGTCTTTCAAATTTTATGGGGCTGTGGGATGTATGTAGTGGGAAAACTCAGCCTGTACAAATTGAGCAACAAATAGAGGCAGCAGGAAGAGCAGCAGCAGCTGCAGGGTAGAGGCAGCCCTAGGCAGGGCCACACGTGGGAGCTCTGAGGGCTCACCAAGCCCAGGGCTGCAACCTCAGCAGGCATGGGGTGTAAGAAGGAAATAATGAGCTGAGAACACAAGATACTGAATATTGAATATAGAATCATAGAATTGTTTAGGTTGGAAAAGACCTTTAAGATCATCCAGTTGTCAGGAATATAAAAATAAAGACCTTGAAGATCATCTAGTCGTTAGAAATAGAAAAATATAAAGGACAGGAACACGTCCCCGACCCTCTGAGTGGACGAGCCATTTGAATTGTGTTTAAGCAGGTCCATGGGAATGGAGGTTTTCAACAAGCTGGAGCATCACCTTTCCAGCAGCAATGCACATGGCATCCACACTCCTCCCCCTCCAGGCCAGCATTAGCTCTCAGGGCAAAGACAAGCTGACAGAAACGGGTCAGTGGAGGCAATAACCACGAGGAGAAGTGCAAGCATGTCATCAAAGGAGCTTTGGGAGGACAGCCTGCTCTCCCAGAAGCAACTTTAAATCCAATATGTTAATAACCAATGTGCAAACTTGCTATGAATAAGCAAACCCTGCACTAAGAGAAGCTTCTTCCCATCCTACAGTCCCTGAGGCTGGAGCAGGAGACGTGAGGACTCTTGGCCAGCTGGGACCTGCCACTGGCTGCCCATGTGGCCCCAGCAGCGTGGCACAGATGTGCCATGGTGCCCCAGGCTCCAGGCCTTGGCATGAGAGCTGAGAGAGCAGCACTGATGTGGCCAGGGGTTGTAGAGCAACAGCTGGTGCTGTCCCTGGTTTGTGATAAACGGCCTGAATTGTGAGCTCCTTTCTGTCTTTGGGGGAGGAAGGCAATGGGAAGCAAAGGCAGAAAGAGAAGGAAAATCAACCCAAAGTTTTGGTGGCCCATGAACTTCTAAGTGGTTTGCTCTAAGGACCCCTTGGGACAATTCAGGCTGACACTGCAGTGAAGGACAGGACAACTGGCCTATCCTCCCAAAGTCTAATGTTTTTCTTTACCATGGATCCGCACAGCTGGAATTTTCCAGCCTGATCATTGAGCTGGAGACCATCCTCCAGGTGTACCAGGAGAGCACCACTAAGGTACCCACGGCTACATGCAAAAATTAGGGACAGAGAACTGCAGTGTCTGCCTGCTCTGAAGTGCTGACAAGACCTTCAGCTCACAGGAGGGGCAAAGCTGTGAGAGGGCAGAGAGGACAAGGTGTCCTTGGAACCTGCCCAGTTCTGTATGACCTGGGTCCTGATGTGGGAGATTCACTCAGGGAGCAAAATGAGGGACACAGGAGATCAAAGCTTCATCTGGGACTCAAATCAAGCCCTGCCTAAGTAAATGCTGCTCTTGTTTCAAAGATTCTCTCTCCAGTCAAGAGCCAAGAAATGTCTTTTCTATGCTTGCCCCAAAAACTGTTGCACCATGGTCATAACCGATATACACACTTCAAGCAGCCTATTTGCAGAACCACAGGAAAATATTCCTTCTCTTCCTGCTAGCAGACCACCAGTTCTTCTCTTCCCTCTCCCACAGCAAATCCCTGTGCTTGGTAAATCCAGCTCTGCATAGGACCCAGTAGGCAGGCCTGATTATGCTGTAAATAAAGATTTATATCCACAGTGAAAGATTTCTAAAATGCAAACAAAAAAGGCTGCTTCAGCTCCTGTTAAGCCTTTGGCCCTGTTAAGCCTCGATGAAGAGCATTAGCACTCCTGTACACACTGGGAAATGCACTTTCCTTGCAGGGTCTCTGCTTGTGACCCTTCTCCTGCCCACTGCCAATCCTGACTGACATTTTTTGTGCTTACTTCATTACTGCATCCCCAGAGAATGAGGGAGGGGTGAGAGGAAGGGAAGAATGAGAAAAGGGAAAAAATAATTACAGTGGGATTTCATTGACAAGCAGAAAAAAAAAGGAAGTGTCCCTCTGGGGTTTGATCAATAATGCAGCACTTATCTTGATCTTCTTAATAAACCACAAGCAGCCCAGATATATTTCTATCTGTGAATCGATGCTTCGCAATGTTTCTATCACAATACAGCCAGTACATGCAACCACACAAAACTAAAATGAAATGGGCTGGTTTATTGATTGTCCAAACAAGAAGCCTTGTCGTTTGCATAGGTTATCAGCAGAGAAGTGCTGCCTGCTTTGCTTCTGTTTAATTACTTTTGCTTTGTTTCAGCCTTTCTGTCCCCCACTGGGGCCACGTGCATTACTAGGCAACCCCCTATGTCATAGCAAAGACTAAATCCTCCCAGTTTAACCCCGAAGTCATTTGCTAAACCTGCAGCCACAACTGCTTCCTTACCTGTGGAAGCACTTCAGGGCACTGCTTTTATTTCTCTTCAGTCAGAGGTGTCGGAGGCGTTGCCGCGTTTCACAGGAGGCAGGACTGGCCCGGAGCTCCTCGCCCTGGAGAAAGTTTAATTACACGGCTAATTACGTGGCTGAGTTCACCTCCTTTCACCTCCTTTTTTGTTCCCACCTCGGAGCCTGCCCGTGAAGTTCACCCTCCCTGACCCATCACTGTGCAGGTTACGACCACCCCGCCAGGCAGCTCTAATTGCTGGGCCGGGGTCAGGCTGCAGAGCCCTCCCAGGCTGACCCAGAGAGCAGCCCTGGGAAGCTGGTGCTGACCCTCACAACGGCTGACCCGTGAATAAAATGCTCAAAGGCGTTTTGTGCTCAGGTATTTCCAGCTCTCTGATGTGCCCCGTGGATCACGGCGTGCCTGGAGCAGCGGCACGGATGCAGAAGGCAGCCTTTGGAGGAGCTGGCCTCGGAGAAAGGCTCCCCAGAGCTGTCTGCTGCACCCCTTGGTTAACCACACCATGAGATAAGGACACCTACCCCACACACACAGTGCCAGGTCACCCTCAGTCATCACCCATGGCTAACCAAGGAGTGCTTTGATCACCTTGGGGTGAATTTCAGCGTCTTTTCTTCTGCTCTTTCAATTTTCAGTAACTCCTTGAGCCTTCTGTGGAGGAAATTTTCCTTCTGCAAAGGAAATTTAAGAATAAACCGAGAAAATCCTTCAAGATTTGACCAATGAGGAAATCATTAATTTTCAGATTTTGTGACTGTCTGCTGAAAGCAACGAACACAGAAGGAGCAAGGTAACATCTCATTGTCTACCAGTGCAGATACTGGGCATGATAATGTTTCCTGTGGGTCTGGTGGATCCATGCTGCAGCCTGCATTGATCAAATGAAGGTCCTAAAGTAATTCCCCACCTTCCTTAGGCATTTACCATAGATATTACTAAGGTTTGAGAAGACAGCCCCTGAATGTATGTAGATGAACCCCCCTTCCCACTGAGACTGCATAAAATCCTTCAAGAAAAAATGTAATTAAGTTAGACTTGTGAATGATAATGAGTTTCTATTACACCCCGCTGAGAGTAGCAGCAACATCTGAAAACTCTTTTTCTCTGCCTACAACCAAGCCACAGCTCTTTTATTAGAAACAGGGGTGGAGCTGATAGCCTGGACTGTTGCAGCTCCAAACTTCCTTTAAGACCAAACCACTGGCAAAGATGATGCTGTGGATTAAAGCTCTGGATCTACATGTAGAAGAGGCAATGAACCTCTCTTCCCAATTCAAGCCACTCCTGATTTTCTCAAGCTCTGTCATAACCTCCCCTCCACCTTTTCTTTTCCAGGTTGGACTCTTTGGCTCCTTAGCTGTTTGTCCCTGGGGAAAAGCTGCCCCTGGCTCTTGGCCAGCCTTGCAGGACATCCTGCAGCAGGGAGCCAGGTGATGGTTTGCTCAGTGCTGTAACAAAATCTTCTGGTTTGTTCTCTGTTTATTCCTTGGTAATTCCTCACACAGAATTCACCTGTTTGATTCACCAAAGTTACACTTCCACATGGACTCTCTGCCATAAGTCCAACATTCCTCAGGTGTCTAGTGAGGTCAAGGACCACCAGAGTGTATATACACACATATATGTATGTGCATTTATATGTATGTGTACACATACAGGTAACACTGTGGTTTCTTTCCCCCCATGTGCATAATTTATATTCAACTCCATCACATCTCATCAGGTGCTGTTTCACCTCTCACTTACATTCAGCCCTTGTTCAATTTGGGAATTGTTTTTTGTTGTTTTTTTTTTAAGAATGAAAAGGAGAAAACACAAACAATCAGTTGGTCCCTGCAATGCAGGAGAGGGGAGGGTTTTTTTCTACATAGAAATAACAGTTTTATCTTGGACCCCAAAGACACCAGGATGAAAACCACTTGTGAATTTTATCCAAGAGAGTTCATTGCCTTAATCCTGGATAATCCATATCTAATCCTTTTCATAATCTTACTCATCTACTTGCCTCAATAGTTTTCCACAGCAGGGAGTTTTCATTTCATAAAAGGAATATTTTCCTCTTCCTGTTTTACAATGAGTTTTACTCTCATAGAGGTTTCCCTTCTGCAAGGGTTCTTCATCCAAACCAAATATATATTTTCTCTTTTTGATGCCATGCCTTGTAAATGACTGAAGAGTTGTTTTGTTTCCCAACAGGACCTGCAATCCAGGTGGCTTATAGGTGCTTCCAGATATATTTTGAACCCAGGAACAGTCACAGACCCCTGAAACCCACGAGTGTCAAACACATACTGAGCAGAGTAGATATATATTCATTATTGAACAGAATATATTTTATCAGCAGACAAGCAGTCCTCAGTAGCCTATAATGATGCTAAACCAGTATATTTCAGGGCTGGTCATGTTGTGGAGAGACAAGAAATCCCGTGTTCTAAATGGGGCCATATGGGACAACAACCTGTTCCAGCTGCCTTTTCCAAGACCTGGTACAAAAGCATCCTGAAGACTTTCTAAGACACTCAGATTTAAACTTGGTCTCTGCCAGGCAATCTGGACTGTCTGGCCAGCCTGTCAGGGAGCCCTTCTGCCAGTCGGGACCTTCATCAGTGGAGGATGCTGCAGTCTGGGAGACTGCAGGAGGTGTGGGCAGGAGGCAGGAAAGGGCAGAGCTCTGCCCTCCTGCTCAGTGCTGTGTGGGCCAGGGGCAGAAAGCAGAGAGAAATCACTTATATTGGGACCTGAGAGCTTTAGTTTTCAGGTCACAGCACTCACTGGTGTAGCAGACATGTTGATTTCTGGCTGGAGAATCTGCTTGAATTATCTCCATTGTGCGTAAGGAAACAAGACAGATGTGCGTTTTCCTTTTGGTGTGCATGGCAATGATTAAAAAAAGGCTACACAGAAAACGTAGCTGCTACATATCACTGCTTTCTCACCCTGACAGAAACAAATCAGCCAGCCTTCAAACTTTTGTTAACCACTCAGTGTGAAGGGGACACAGCACCTCCTTGTGAAGTAAATAACGTGACTGTGGTTCAAGGCAAGTATAACACACACAACACAAACCACAGTGTTGAACTGAATAATCTTTTAGTGATCAGAGATCTGGAACCAGACCCACACTCTACAAACAACATGACAAAAATGAACTGCAAGCCCTGTGCCAAGACAGATAATAACTAAGAGAAATAGGCAAATCTGTCACTGGGATGCAGGTGGTGCAGTTTGTGATTTCTGGGTTTGCTCAGGAAACCTACAAATTTTAACCCTTGGTAATCACTGGAGAAATCCTACCTTTCATTAAGCTGGAGCATCCTCACTTGAAATTCGAACCTTTGTGCTCAGCTACCCAGCTCCTCATTGCATTATGAATTTCAGAAATTGCCCCCTAACCCTGCCTGCAATTTCCAAACCACAGGCCAATTACACTCAGCTAATGAACATGGTTGGCACCACACTGCACAGTGATCATGGCTTAGGCTAATGAAGAATCTGCTCCTCACAGTGGCTACTGGGGAGCAAGAAGATGAGCCCCCCCTTCTCACCCACCATCAATAGCATCTCTGAAAATCCCTGAAGTTTTTTTCAAGTTGCTGGTAATACAAGCAGGTTTCTAGCAGTGCTAGATCTTAAATACAAGCAGATCACTTCCAGCTGCTCCTTATCTGATTTCTGTTGTCATCTGACACTGTTCATTTACAGTATATCACTCTAACTTGGGAATATTTGGAATATTAATTAGGCGACGGCCTCAGCTCATTACCACGGATGCACTGAGCAGGAGGCACGGCTGTTTACAGGTATCCAAACTGTTGTGCAGAACAAATAATTAACTGTTCCTCCCTTAGGGAATGTCTGGGCAGAACTACTCAAGCCAGCTTTAACTGAGCCAGCTTGGGTGCTGTGCTGGTTCTGTGCTTCAGCCACCACAGTGAGCTTTGGGGAGACATCACATCTGGCAGGATTTGTACAGCCCCACTGAGCTGTGCTGGAATGACCAGGCTGAACCACACTGCAGTTTCCCTTGGGTTTGTTCATAAAGTCATAGAATCACTTAGGTTGGAAAAGCCCTGTAATATCACCAGGTCCAACCATTAACCCAGCTAAACCATGTCCCCAAGTGTCACATCCACATATATTTTTGAACACTTCCAGGGAGGGTGAATCCACCACTTCCCTGGGCAGCCTGTTCCAATGCCTGACCACCCTTTCAGTGAGCAAATTTGCCCTAATATCTAAGCTAATTTGAGTCCATCTGAACCTGCCCGTGCTCAGGACCCACACAGGTAAGCTCAGAGGTGCTGTTAATGTCCCCTCTAATGTGCTACGAGGCTGAGGAGCATCTCCTGCCTGCCCTGCCCCACTGACGGGGTGCAGGAGGGTGCCAGGTCAGGGTGGGCTGCTCTGGTGGGTTCTTGCCCAAATTTCCAGTGGGTTTTCCAAACAATGCTGAGCTGCTCTGTGATTAGCAGTGCACTTTAATACTGCTCCCCCACCCAGCCTGCAGTCCCTGACAGGGGACTGCCCTCTCTTTTGTCTCACTCCTGAATGACAAGGCTGGATCACAGAAAATGTAGGAGAAGAAAAGCACAGTGGGCTGTTCTCTACCTAAAAAATGTGGGGCTGTAAGAGCTGGTCCTTTCTGGGAGCACTCAAACACATGACAGCACTTTACCCCAACCCCACTTCTTGCTGGGGTGGGGGCAATTACCAGTAGCCACAGGCTATTATCAATGATAATAGATAATTATCAATATTATCACCTAAATGAGAAAACAGGGGCTTGGCTTCTGCAAAGTACAGCTCGTGTGGCAGCACACGGAGCTGCTTCTCTCTCATGCACTCTCTTGTCTGCCTGTAGCCATGCCCCAACAGGGCTTTCCTTGGTTTTGCTTTTCGGGGAGGAGTATCATATTTTGGGGGGAGAAGATGAACCAGAGGGACCAGACCCACTCTGCTGCATCACAGCTCTGCAGCTCTGCTCAAATGCACCACCAAACACCAGCGTGGTGAGAGATGCAGGATCCAGCCCCTCCTGCATCTTCCCTGATGAGGCAGAATTGAGGAGCCAGTCAACGAATGCACACAAAATTGAACACACATGCACTAAAGCTGTCATTTAAATGCCTGGAAAATAGCCTAATTTCTGTGTACTCTGGCTGCCTATTACTGAGATGCTAAACGAAGATGGGCCAGTGACTGACAAAGTGAGACATTAACTCCATCAAGCAGATGGAGAATGGCATAATTATGAAAATAATAACAGTGATTGGCCAAGATATGACCAAAAAACAATGTTATAGGAATTATTTACGTTCAGGGTTGTTGGAGCTTAATTTATTCTAGTGTTTGAACAGCAAGAAGAAACACAGAAATCACGGCTCCTGAAATGCTCATAATAGGTGGTATAGCCCAGAAGAACTGCTCCCAGCTACAGGGGTTTAATTGCATCTCCTGATGAATGAAATTAACCTTTCTTTGGGGCTGATGTGCACATGTCACCCACCAGCATTTCTCACAAGGCTCATGCCTGCTGCCACCACAGTTAATGCCTTAAATGAGTTCACTGCGGTCTGGAGTGAGCCCAGCTCAGAGACACCGGGGTGTCAGATCACAGGAATTAAGCTGTACCCACAGGACCAGCTCTGGAGCAATTAAAGCCCCTCATCAA